GGCCTCACCCCCGCCAGCTCTGCTTCCCGCCCTGCCCCCCTCCCAGCCAGTCCCGCCACTCCGCCCCCGCCAGGTGTCTGTTTTTTTGGCACTCTACCTGGCAACCCTAGACAGGACAGCTCTGCTTACCAATACTTCTCAGGGCCCCTGTGGGAGCCAAGACCCCACACACACTGTAGGGGCAGGACACCCACCCCAGTGGGAGGCGCATGGCCTTAGCCTTTCCCTCCCCTTCCATCTCCCGACCTGAGCACAGGGAGCGATGCCCGCCAGGTGTCTGTTTTTTTGGCACTCTACCTGGCAACCCTAGACAGGACAGCTCTGCTTACCAATACTTCTCAGGGCCCCTGTGGGAGCCAAGACCCCACACACACTGTAGGGGCAGGACACCCACCCCAGTGGGAGGCGCATGGCCTTAGCCTTTCCCTCCCCTTCCATCTCCCGACCTGAGCACAGGGAGCGATGATGGGCAGTGTGCATCCCCACCTGGGGTTTGAGTCTAGGATTTTGGTTCAGGCCCATCTCCGGTTCCATGTAGTTTTGATTATTTGTATTTGTTGTTGTTTCACAGAGTTTCTTTTTAATGCTCCAAGGAGCCAGTTTGTGGGACCAAACTAAGACAAGAGCTGATCTCTGGACCATAATTCAGTTGCTGGTGGGTAGCTCTAGGAGGAGATAAGGCCTGCCGTTGCTTTCAGCCATTAATGGCTCCCTGCTGCAAGAATGCCCATGAAAAACACAAAGCAAGCACAAATGCTGAGCTCTGGGCATTGATTTAGGTCCCTGTGGTACCCAAGTGCACAGCCCTGGCTTTGCAACTGGCCTGTAAACAAACCATTTATAACCAAGGCTTTAATTCGCTTCTGCTCCTCCAACTCAAATCTAGAGTCACTCCCACTCAGCTGCTGCCCTGTCCACTTCATTGAAACCGCCCTCCTCAGGGTCACTGCCTCGTCTTGGCCAGGCCTAGGGCCTGTTCTCCATTCTCCTCCTCCTGCTCTTGTGTTACCTTTCAGGCTCTGCAGGGCCAGGGCATAGCAAGCCCTGGCTTGAGGAGAACCCAGCAAACAGGTGCAGGGAACTGGCCCAGCTAAACAGCAGCTAAGGATTGGCTCTGCTTCCCAGAGGGATCCAGCTGCGTAAGGGAGGGAGAAACACGTTCCTGGATAGCACCACCAGCGGCAGGGTGGCATGGGGCCGGCCACCCAGCTCTCTAGTCCCCGAGGCTAAGGTAAGGCCAGGACCCTTGAGCTACTGAGGGAGGAAAGCAAAGACCCTGCAGTCTCAGTCCAGGTCAGGACTATTTATTGGTTACTTTTAAACACTGCTTGTGGCAGAGGAGTAAAACAGCCTGCGTGGAAGACTCAGGGAGCTTTGCTCAGCTCTGGCTGTTTCGTCCCCAAGCTGGAGGCCAGACTGCACTTTGATACTTTTGCATGCTGCCGGGCCCTGGCCTGTCCCTGTGTGCCCTTCCAACTGCCCCCTCTCTGCTCATTAACAGCCACCTTTGGCACTTCTTCCCCCCTCCCCTGGTGTTCTTGTGGGGTTTGTCCTTGGCCAGCTCCATTTCTCCTCCCATGCCCTCTCCCTGGGTGACTGTCTCTCCATTCGTACAAATTCAGCAATCCTGGCTGTGCAGAGGACTCACAAATCTCTCTCTCCACAGCTGATCTGTCTCCCTCCATCTGGTCCTGCCGCTCAGCCTGTCCGGCTCCGGTGAAAACTGAGCTCCTGAGGTCTATTTCTATTGCCCCAGCCTCCCTAGTTGTTGTCACCGTCCCACAGGCCACCCAGGCTTGCAGCCTGGTGGGGTCATTGGGCCATTCCTAAGTCTGGCTGCTTCCTTCTCCACAACATACTAGACTCTAGAACTTTTTCCTTGTCCCAGTGTCTGCAAAGCTTTATCCAGGCTCAGATTATCTTCCACTGCAGCCTCCTGTCTGGCCTCCCTGGTAACAACACCCGCCCACTTCAGGCCATCCCAAATGTAGCTGCCAAAGGGCCTTCCTTATGTATGGATCTGGTGATGTCAACTCCCCACCTCTTCACTAGGCCCACAGCATGCTACATTCAAGCTGCATGCCTCATTCTTGTCTTCTAGGCCCTGCACAACACTGCTTTATCCTGCATCTTGGACCGTGTCTCTTCTTATGTCCCTCAGACTCCACTCTATCAATGGCACTGGCCTTGATGCTCTGTAGCTGCAGAAGTCAGACAGGAGATGGTCACAGCAATCAAGCTGAGAAGCCACTGAGGCCTGGACAATGGCCGTGACAACAGAAAACACAGGACAGATTGCGGCGCTATTATGCAAGAAGAAACAACAGGGTTTAGTAAACGCGCCGATGAGAATGGATAGGGATGGGAAGTTAAAGGGTATGTCTACACTGCAGGGTATCCCGGAAGAACTCCGCTGTGTCCAGGGAACACGTTTGCTCTTCCACTTTTTTTTGCAGAAGTGCACAAGCGCTCCTTCGGAAGCTCTGTCTTCCTCAGGGTATGTCTACACTACCCCGCTAGTTCGAACTAGCGGGGTAATGTAGGCATACCGCACTTGCAAATGAAGCCCGGGATTTGAATTTCCCGGGCTTCATTTGCATAAGCGGGGAGCCACCATTTTTAAAACCCCGGCTCGAACTAGGTAGTTCGGACTAGGCTTCCTATTCCGAACTACCGGTACACCTCGGTAACACCGGTAACACCTCAAAGTAAAACCTCCCTTTTGCTTTGTCTTCTTCACTAGAGTTTTACATTGAGATGACAGCTATCTTGAGTAAACAATCTCAATGTAAAACACCTTTTTTTTTTTTGAATGAACTCCAAGCTTTACTTATGTTGATCTTCTATGAATAGGAAGATACTAATTCAGGGTATGTCTACGCTACCCTCCTAGTTCGAACTAGGAGGGTAGTGTAGACATACCCTCATTCCATGAGGAAGAAGGGATCTTCCAAAAGAGGGGGATTTTCTGAAATTTGGCCCAGTGTAGATGGGCCAAATTTCAGAAAAGCCTCTTCTGAAAAAAAATTGGAAAAAGCAACTCAAAATGTGGAGCGCATTTTGCGTCATTTTTTCTGAAAAAAAGCTGTAGTGTAGACCTAGCCTTAGAGAGTAATTTATTTTTCCTGATACATCTCCCTGTGGCATGTGGGCAACCTTGTTTAAGGCCCGAGCAAGAGAGTTATTAATAGAAATAGTGCACGCAATGATGGCAGATGACCTGCTTTATTTGGCTGGATTAAGCATGGGATTACTGGAGGAGTGTTTAAATGTTCACAAAGCTCTGCTGCTTTTTCCCATTGTTGTCTGTTGTTTCTTCCAAAGAGGAGAGTTTTGTGTAGTTATCCAGCCTCGGAATAATACCAGCTGCAATGTGATCAGAATTTGGAACGAGCACAATGAAAATGAACAGTCCCAAGCATTCCCCATTTAGAAACGAATCTGCCGTTTTTTCCCTGTTGTGCTAAAAGAGGTGATTGCTGTTTCATTAATAAAAATCAGTGTTACAATAAAAACCTTTGAGAGCATCCTGACTGCTTTCCATATGGCTGAGGGAGGAGGACATGAAGAAGAGGGAGAGGTGATGGCTGTAGAAACCATGGGGAGCTAGGGGCAATGTCAAATAATCTGGACAGATGGCTGATGGCCTCCTAAAGATTACTCTTCATTCCCCAGCATAAAATTTACATGGTGCTAAATCTCATTAAGTGTTGCATTTAATAAAGTTCTGAATATGAAGAAGCAGCTAATTAAAGTCCCAATTACCTGCCAAATGTGCCCTTTAGAAACATACTTCCTGTCTCAAACAGCCCCACCCTCTTCATCTTCTGTCCATACTTTCTCCTTAAGAAAGCGTTTAGGATTAAACGCTTTGTGTGCGTAGCACCATTCACGTGGACTCACAGGGCAGATTCTCTTGTCTGTTACATCGGTGCAGCCCTGTTGAAATCAGTAGGATTGCAGCAGTCGGAGAGAGAAGGGAGTATGGTTTTGTAGTCTCACAGAGTGTGTTTCCAAAGGGATTTGGGAATGTCAGCATCATCTTTTTTCCTGCATTCATCCCTATTTCAGCAGACACGACACATTCCGAAAGCTGGGAGGGTTGATAGTGGTTAGGCTGGTAGACCTGGGCTCAGGACTCTTGTAGATCTATCTAGTCCTAGCTCTGCCACAAACTGGTTAGGTGACCTGAGGGCAGATCACTTACAACCTGACTTTTTCCTTTCAAGGTGCAGAATGCTAGCCGCTCCTATTCAGTGGGGTTGGTGGATGCCCAGTGCTTGTAAATATTAGGCCTATGTACCACTCCGTGCCTCAGTTTACCTCATATGGGGGCAACTGGCTCAGTATCCATTTCATCAGGGTGTTGCGAAAACTGCTCAATGAATGTTAAGAAAGTACTTGGGAATCCTTGGCTCCCTAGACGGTTGCAACATAGTGTGATGAAATGTGAGTACTATGCCAACCTGCGAGCGTTGCCAGCTGTACCCAGACCTAACATCCAGCAGGAGCTGCCTCAGCTGGGATCTCAAACTCTTTGAAATGCACCCTGCCCTTTACAGAGGCTCTAGTCTCTTTCATGCCAGTGGGATACAGCCTTCATGGATGGCAACAGTTCTCTTTGTTACAGAGGGTCACGCTGTGATACCGGGAATTTGAACTTCCTAGTAAATTATATTTAGTGCTGGGAGGGGGGGAAGTAACCCAAAATGTGTGTAAGATACAGCACCAAATGAAGAGACTAATAAGCATACATGTCTGCATCAAAATTACGTTTAAAAACTATAGCACTTTACACAGCCGAGATTACGAATACACGTCACTTTATCAGGGCATTTTCTCAGCTCATTGGTGACTGCTCTGAGCTGTCTCTCACGATAGATGCTTGGCTTGACAAAGCCCTGGCTGAGTTGATCTAGTTGGGATTGGTCCTGCCTTGGGCAGGGGGCTGGACTTGATGACCTCCTGAGGTCTTTTCCAGCTCTATGGTTCTATGATTCCTATCTGCTACCTTGGTATGATTACTGAGTATGTCTACACTGCAACCAGGAGGTGTGACAGCAGCAGGTGCAGACAGACCTGGGTGAAGGCCGTTCAGCTATGTAGCCAGGGTCCTGGGCGGGCAGGGCTAGCCCATGCAGCCACCGCTGCTGCAGCAGTTATTACTCAAGGTCAGTTACATTGCCAGCTAGAGCAAAGCCAAGTCTGCTGTGTGTACATGTGCTGCAATCACGCCTTCTGATTGCAGTGCAGACAACCTCTGTTGAAGCCAACCAGGTGACCTTGGGGTGAAAGGCCTTATTGCCTATCTTGATGCTGAGGACACTGGCCTCTTCACCCTTGCACTTGAATTTTTCCATGGCTAATCTATGAAAACGACACCTCCTTAAAGTTATATTGAAGGGAGGGTCTTAATACCACTGCCCAGAAACAGTAGTTTTACCCATGAAAGCTCATGATCCAATATATTTTTGTTAGTCTCTAAAATGCCACAGGACCACTCATTGTTTTTAAAGTTACAGACTAGCTCAGCTACCCCTCTGACACTTAACAACGGTGATGTCGCTCTTAAGGCAGACGTAGTAACAGGAGTTTTTCTAAAGGGGAATTTGAATATTGATGGGATTTTTATTTGACAGTCTCTTACCTAGTGCTCATGACATTCTAAAGTGTGAGAAACTGGAGAAGGTATCTTATGGTTCTAGTGTAAACTAGAGATGGGCCTAAATTCAAACTCTGGATCTAATCACACACCAGTGTGGGGGAAACAGACCCCAAATTTGCAGCTGGTCCCTAGCTTTCTGGAGGGCTGAATCCAAACCGCAGGTTCTGAGCGTTCCAGATGGTGGAGCTGAATTTTGTGTCTTGGGCCCATCCCTGAGTTTGGCCAAAATGGGGTGGCCTGGTTTATATAAATTCCAGATGCTTGTCCTCTGGGACATTGTATTTAGTTTTATGTTCCTCAAAGAGTTTGCACAGCTCTTGAATATACGTCTGATGTACTCGATCAACTTCTTCTTGGGAGGGGTTGTGCTTCTTTTCCACCTTAATCGGCTTCCCAACTGGAAAACAAAGGCATGAACCTTAGGAGAGACCAAACCCCATGTGCTGGGGTATCCAGATACCACCCTCATTTTTAACACCAAGCTATGGCTTCTGCAGGCAGGCCCACCAACATGGGGGAGGGTAAAGAAGGCAGTTGCCCTGAGACCTGGTGATCAAAAGGGCTCAGGGCTTCCAGCTGTCACCACTGCTACTGTAGGAATGACAGTGGCTGGAGCCCTGAGCCCTAAAAACCATCACTGGAGCACCACATGGCATGCTCCTGGTGGTGACATCACGGTCCCCTTATGCGGGGCAGGGGAGGGAGGTGGGGTGCCCAGGAACCTTACCCTGGGGAGAGACACTGCACATTGCCCTTCCTCCAGACTCCCCCTCTACACAGAGGCAGGGCACATATCCCCTTCCCCCCCCCCCCCCCCCCACCTTTTTTTTTTTTTTTTTTTTTTTTTTTTGGTGTTTCTCCATAAAAAAAAATGTATCGTTTGGTGTTGCTCGGTCTTAAAAAGTTTAAGAAACACTACTCTACGGGATACTAGTTGCCTCTAGCCCTGCCCCTTCTACCAAAGGCCATACCCCTTCTGGGAGCACAGAACCAGTGTCCCCCCACACCATGCCCAAAGGCCTGACAAGTCTGTCAGTCCCCCTGACCTGGAGGCTGCAGGTTCACGTATGCAATGTTCTAATCAAACAACACTGTAATTAGGGATCAAGATGCAATATTATATGCTAGGGACTTGCATTTGGGAGGTGGTGGGCTTAGCTGACAGGGCATTGCCCTACCCTTCACGAGACCTAGGATCTAGTCCCGTCGCTGTTGGGTGACCTTGGGCAAGTCTGGTTGCTTCTGTTTTCCTCATCTGTAAAATGGGGATAATGACACTGATCTGCTTTTGTAAAGCATTTTGTGATCTAGGGATGAAGAGTGCTAGAGAAGAAGTAGGTAACATCATCTGTAGCTATCATGAGATGCTAAGGCTGACTGTCACCACTTGAGGGAAATGAGATGCCGTGTTGGAGCTCCTATCAAGCTGCCCAAGCAGCCCTCACTGTCACTAAGGTGGAACAGCTCTGGAATAACTTTTGTTCTAAAACACAGGGAAAAGATGTCAGCGAAGCTACAAGATGCCCTTGGCTCTTGCCCAAAGAATAGCCATGGGAACACTGTGGCTATCACCAAAAAAGACTCCTCCCCTTTACTCCTAAGCTGGATTTGTCTACACGCCTATTCACAGAAAGCCCCGGGGGGTAGACATAGGGCAGAGGGAATGTGTCTACACTGCAGCAAAACATACATCACTGACCCACATTCAATGACTCAGGCTGCGGGGCTAAAACACTGCAGTGGACACATTTGGGCTCAGGCTGCAACCCAGATGTGGGACCTCACCAAAGAGGAGGTTTCCAGAGCCTGGGCTCCAGCCTGAGTCTGAATAGCTACTCTGCAATTTTAAACCTCCCCACTCCCCACCCCCCAGCTCCAGCCCCAGCAGCTGGAGTCAGTGGACCCGGGGCGGGTGTTTTATTGCACGTCCACAGATGCCCAGTTTTTCAAAAGACACTTGCCATGTTGATTGCTTCCATTTCTGGGGCCCTGTGCAGTACCATTATGTTGGTGCCCTTATGCCCAATGGCAGTCTGGGTGGGTGGGTGTCATAATTTTTTAGAGATGTGGTTTTATAGCCTCAGAAACACACTAAGGAAATATTTTTAAAGCACATTTTAAATTAAGCTCCTGTCGATTAATACGGTAAGTTCAGAAACTGATCGTATATATTTGGGGTTGGCAAATGCCTGTTAAATGGCTTCAGTATCACTTGAATGGCTTTTTCACAGGATCAGTGTTCTGCTAATAGCTCTGGTAGGCTTTGTCACTTTTAAGTTAACTAGATCCTCTCCAGAGGAAGCAGAGTCACAGAACAGGAATAGGGAGAGGTGAGGGTGGGAGTGGTGGACATTAAGACCCAGCAGTGCCCCATATTTTCAGATGCCCTACACAGCTGCATATTCTGCATATGGGTAAGGACGACTATCTGCTCACCTGCTGAAAATCAGGCTAAGTCACAGAGCTATTTTGAAACACCTCGATTCATTCCTCATTTTTAAAAATCTGCAGCTTAAATGATCTGGCTAGAGAGATTAATGCTCAGATTCTCAAAGGTATTTAGGTTCCTAATTTCCATTATGATCAATGAAAAATGCGGACAGGCCTAAGTGTCTCTAGCAATGAGAACAACAGGCTCTTCCTCCCCGAGAAGCAATTTCCAGTGGCACAGGGCACCTCTTTAGAAGACTGGAAGACCTTGGGGTTATCTCCTTCTCTTCTGAATTTCAATCTAATTGTGTTTGTCAGGTTGCAAAAGGTTCCTATTGTTTTAGGTAGCTGTCCATCTGTCTAATTAAAGGCCCTGAAAATACACCTGTGAGTGCAAGTAAACCCATTGAGAGAGGCTATGGCTTCTGCAGGCAGGCCCACCAACATGGGGGAGGGTAAAGAAGGCAGTTGCCCTGAGACCTGGTGATCAAAAGGGCTCAGGGCTTCCAGCTGTCACCACTGCTACTGTAGGAATGACAGTGGCTGGAGCCCTGAGCCCTAAAAACCATCACTGGAGCACCACATGGCATGCTCCTGGTGGCTCTAGGGCAGTGTTTCTTAAACTGTGTGGTGAGGCAGTCGGATGTGTGCCGCAGAGAACAACGGAATTCAAAATGGCCGCCCTTAAAGGGGGCAGGTGACCTTTTTTTTTTTGCTCAATAACTTCCCCCCAATCCTTTTTTTTTCTCAGTAACTTCCCTACCCCCCACCCCCAACCTTTTTTTTTTTTTCGGTGTTTCTCCATAAAAAAAATGTATCGTTTGGTGTTGCTCGGTCTTAAAAAGTTTAAGAAACACTACTCTACGGGATACTAGTTGCCTCTAGCCCTGCCCCTTCTACCAAAGGCCATACCCCTTCTGGGAGCACAGAACCAGTGTCCCCCCACACCATGCCCAAAGGCCTGACAAGTCTGTCAGTCCCCCTGACCTGGAGGCTGCAGGTTCACGTATGCAATGTTCTAATCAAACAACACTGTAATTAGGGATCAAGATGCAATATTATATGCTAGGGACTTGCATTTGGGAGGTGGTGGGCTTAGCTGACAGGGCATTGCCCTACCCTTCACGAGACCTAGGATCTAGTCCCGTCGCTGTTGGGTGACCTTGGGCAAGTCTGGTTGCTTCTGTTTTCCTCATCTGTAAAATGGGGATAATGACACTGATCTGCTTTTGTAAAGCATTTTGTGATCTAGGGATGAAGAGTGCTAGAGAAGAAGTAGGTAACATCATCTGTAGCTATCATGAGATGCTAAGGCTGACTGTCACCACTTGAGGGAAATGAGATGCCGTGTTGGAGCTCCTATCAAGCTGCCCAAGCAGCCCTCACTGTCACTAAGGTGGAACAGTTCTGGAATAACTTTTGTTCTAAAACACAGGGAAAAGATGTCAGCGAAGCTACAAGATGCCCTTGCAATCTTGGCTCTTGCCCAAAGAATAGCCATGGGAACACTGTGGCTATCACCAAAAAAGACTCCTCCCCTTTACTCCTAAGCTGGATTTGTCTACACGCCTATTCACAGAAAGCCCCGGGGGGTAGACATAGGGCAGAGGGAATGTGTCTACACTGCAGCAAAACATACATCACTGACCCACATTCAATGACTCAGGCTGCGGGGCTAAAACACTGCAGTGGACACATTTGGGCTCAGGCTGCAACCCAGATGTGGGACCTCACCAAAGAGGAGGTTTCCAGAGCCTGGGCTCCAGCCTGAGTCTGAATAGCTACTCTGCAATTTTAAACCTCCCCACTCCCCTCCCCCCAGCTCCAGCCCCAGCAGCTGGAGTCAGTGGACACAGGCCCGGGGCGGGTGTTTTATTGCACGTCCACAGATGCCCAGTTTTTCAAAAGACACTTGCCATGTTGATTGCTTCCATTTCTGGGGCCCTGTGCAGTACCATTATGTTGGTGCCCTTATGCCCAATGGCAGCCTGGGTGGGTGGGTGCCATAATTTTTTAGAGATGTGGTTTTATAGCCTCAGAAACACACTAAGGAAATATTTTTAAAACACATTTTAAATTAAGCTCCTGTCGATTAACATGGTAAGTTCAGAAACTGATCGTATATATTTGGGGTTGGCAAATGCCTGTTAAATGGCTTCAGTATCACTTGAATGGCTTTTTCACAGGATCAGTGTTCTGCTAATAGCTCTGGTAGGCTTTGTCACTTTTAAGTTAACTAGATCCTCTCCAGAGGAAGCAGAGTCACAGAACAGGAATAGGGAGAGGTGAGGGTGGGAGTGGTGGACATTAAGACCCAGCAGTGCCCCATATTTTCAGATGCCCTACACAGCTGCATATTCTGCATATGGGTAAGGACGACTATCTGCTCACCTGCTGAAAATCAGGCTAAGTCACAGAGCTATTTTGAAACACCTTGATTCATTCCTCATTTTTAAAAATCTGCAGCTTAAATGATCTGGCTAGAGAGATTAATGCTCAGATTCTCAAAGGTATTTAGGTTCCTAATTTCCATTATGATCAATGAAAAATGCGGACAGGCCTAAGTGTCTCTAGCAATGAGAACAACAGGCTCTTCCTCCCCGAGAAGCAATTTCCAGTGGCACAGGGCACCTCTTTAGAAGACTGGAAGACCTTGGGGTTATCTCCTTCTCTTCTGAATTTCAATCTAATTGTGTTTGTCAGGTTGCAAAAGGTTCCTATTGTTTTAGGTAGCTGTCCATCTGTCTAATTAAAGGCCCTGAAAATACACCTGTGAGTGCAAGTAAACCCATTGAGAGGATCCAAACAAACTGTAAAACAATTAGGAGTAATTGCAGGCTGTCAAACCCAATCAGCACCAGTCAGCCTTGGTCTTCTCAGCCTCTCTAATTAGACTAACAAATGTTGGCTGTGCTTAGTGGGATCAATACACAGTTGGCAAAAGCAGATGCAAAAACCACTGGGCTCCGTTGGAATTTGGCTATACACTGACTCCCATGCTAGGAACCACCTTTCTCTGCAGTTTGTTTGCCAAGACCCAAGCCCTCAAAGCTATGGAAGTGCCTATTTCCTACTGGGTCTTTGGGGGGTATTTAAGCAGCTCTAAACATTGCACTGCTCCTTTTAATCATTCCTGTAAACTCTGTAGGGTTGCAGTTTTGTACTGTCTCTGAGCTGCTGGTGGAACTGGCTTGCGGACACTGAAACGATTAAGTCTACTGAGGATGACACAAAGTCCTAGCTCAGTTCAAAGCTGAACCTAGGCAACCTGGACCCAAAGTGCAGCATAAAGGGAGCTTCCTCAGAGGCACCTTCCCTGTGCACGTGGGAAGCAGCTGGCTTTCGAGTTCAGATGAACGGGGAACTTCACACCATATGGGAGCTATGGTTTCAGGCTGCCTGCAGACTCAGGTAGACATCGTTTGTACTTCTCACATGTGTAAGCATTTCTTTCCATCCGGGAGCCCTAGACATATGCCTGAAATGAACCATGGTTTAGTCTGTGTAAACTGGCAGAAAATCCTTAACTCCCCCTGGAGAAAGCAAGGGAAAGTGTTGTATGTCTTTGAGTAACAGCACCAACTGGGCTGTGCTGGGGTGATTTAGCATAAGCACTTCCCCTTCGACAAGACTGTGTGGAAAGGCACTACCTTTCCTTAGGCGGGGACGTGCCTTTTAAGAATCTCCGAGTGCAATCGCAGCAGGCCATTCTGAGCCAAGGACCCACTTACCCACGGTGAAGATGGGCCGTCGGTATGGGAGCAGCCCTAAGCTGTACTGGAACACGCCCCGGGCATGGAACAGGGGGAGGGAGATGCCCATGATTTGCTGAAGACGGTGCTGCATCCTCCTCAGCCAGGAGCCTTTGGGGTTGTCGACCTGGTCAAAGAGCTCGTTCTCTCCAAAGGAAAACACGGGGACCAGAGGAGCCCTGCAGAGGCAGAAAGGGGACGTGTTGGGCAGCTCACGCGCCGCATGCCAGCAGACACGGCACGTGAGGGGAGGCTCTTTCTCTGTGCATGGCCAGGAGCCAGCAGAGTTCGGCACTCAGCAAGAGCTCCCGCTCTGCCACTGGACAGGAGCTACGGTGAAGGCTCTGCCGCCGCCAGG